CACTGAAAACCTTTTTTATCCATTTCTAAGCTAACAAAAATGTAAATAAAAAATTCAATTAATTCGTCTGGCCTGTAATTACAGTCGATTTCGATAAATTGGGTTTAACTGATAATGAAAATCCATACGGTGTGATAAGCCCCTTGTTAGCCCGATCGATGGGGAGTGGAATTATGGATATTCTTGGATCATATATATCGACTTTTATGAAACGTCGAAGGAGCAAGAGAGCGCCTCCAGAGCCTCCGCCAAATGCTTCAAAAGCATTTCATGGAGGTGAAAGGGCACTACTCTATATTATGGTTGAAGATTTCTTAGAAAATTTTGGTATGAATGGGAAGGCGTGCCTCCTACGAGCCATTTGCGAGGTACATGCTAATCCCATGCATAATTATGGACTTTTGGGAGAAACACTGAAGTTATTTTTCACGTGAGTGAAAACCATAGTAAAAATATGTTGCATTATTTTCCGACTAGGACCAATTTTTTTTTTTTGTTATCGTATCGAGTGGGATTTCAAATGAATGAGAACTAAATTTTTGGTTCATAAATATAAATATAACTAATTTTAAACATATATACGTCAGAAAAACAATTTTATTATATTTCAAGCGTTTGCAAATACTACTAGCGCTATCTATATATTATCAGCTACGCCACTGTCTATGCGACAACTAGGAAATTATAACATTCTGGTAGATTTTGTTTCCTTACGTTATGCAACTTTATATACTGTAAACTTTTGCGCGCGGTGTCGCTCTCCCTTAAAAATACTGCTTTTACAGGAAATCAAATTCGATTTTTCGTTGTTTGCAAAAACTTTTTTTTCGTTTTCTACGGGTCCTTCTTAATATCTAATCTTAGAAGTTGAATTTGGTAAATCAGGTAAGGAAATAAATACCAATAAAAATTAATTTAATTTTTAGAGCAAGTAAATCTCCTTATTCAAAAGTGTTACAAGAGTATGTGGATGCAGAAAATGCAGGAAGTGGTAAATCTGGGCCTGCAGAATGTTGGCCTTACATGAAGGACTGTCCCAAATCTCTCTTTAAACCACGTCATAACTACTACAAGTACGTTAAAGATATTTCATTATAAGTTCAACTGTAACTCATAAAACGAAATGAGATTTTTATTCATTGTCAGTAAATTGGTAACTAATTTGATCTGAAATAAGTAAATTAAAATTTTAAATGTTTAATTGGTATTCATATTGTAGCAATGATGAAAACAGTGAAAGTGAAACTAAAGTGGAAGAACATCCCGAGAAAAGTCCAGAAGTTACCTTTGAACTTAATAAGTTCAATAATATGTGATAGACTACTGTCATACTTAATCTAGATACTGTGCGCTTTAACTATAAAATATAAATGTAAATAAAAAATTCAATTAATTCGTCTGGCCTGTAATTACAGTCGATTTCGATAAATTGGGTTTAACTGATAATGAAAATCCATACGGTGTGATAAGCCCCTTGTTAGCCCGATCGATGGGGAGTGGAATTATGGATATTCTTGGATCATATATATCGACTTTTATGAAACGTCGAAGGAGCAAGAGAGCGCCTCCAGAGCCTCCGCCAAATGCTTCAAAAGCATTTCATGGAGGTGAAAGGGCACTACTCTATATTATGGTTGAAGATTTCTTAGAAAATTTTGGTATGAATGGGAAGGCGTGCCTCCTACGAGCCATTTGCGAGGTACATGCTAATCCCATGCATAATTATGGACTTTTGGGAGAAACACTGAAGTTATTTTTCACGTGAGTGAAAACCATAGTAAAAATATGTTGCATTATTTTCCGACTAGGACCTAATTTTTTTTTTTTGTTATCGTATCGAGTGGGATTTCAAATGAATGAGAACTAAATTTTTGGTTCATAAATATAAATATAACTAATTTTAAACATATATACGTCAGAAAAACAATTTTATTATATTTCAAGCGTTTGCAAATACTACTAGCGCTATCTATATATTATCAGCTACGCCACTGTCTATGCGACAACTAGGAAATTATAACATTCTGGTAGATTTTGTTTCCTTACGTTATGCAACTTTATATACTGTAAACTTTTGCGCGCGGTGTCGCTCTCCCTTAAAAATACTGCTTTTACAGGAAATCAAATTCGATTTTTCGTTGTTTGCAAAAACTTTTTTTTCGTTTTCTACGGGTCCTTCTTAATATCTAATCTTAGAAGTTGAATTTGGTAAATCAGGTAAGGAAATAAATACCAATAAAAATTAATTTAATTTTTAGAGCAAGTAAATCTCCTTATTCAAAAGTGTTACAAGAGTATGTGGATGCAGAAAATGCAGGAAGTGGTAAATCTGGGCCTGCAGAATGTTGGCCTTACATGAAGGACTGTCCCAAATCTCTCTTTAAACCACGTCATAACTACTACAAGTACGTTAAAGATATTTCATTATAAGTTCAACTGTAACTCATAAAACGAAATGAGATTTTTATTCATTGTCAGTAAATTGGTAACTAATTTGATCTGAAATAAGTAAATTAAAATTTTAAATGTTTAATTGGTATTCATATTGTAGCAATGATGAAAACAGTGAAAGTGAAACTAAAGTGGAAGAACATCCCGAGAAAAGTCCAGAAGTTACCTTTGAACTTAATAAGTTCAATAATATGTGATAGACTACTGTCATACTTAATCTAGATACTGTGCGCTTTAACTATAAAATATAAATGTAAATAATTGTAAATTCCTTTATTTATTTTATTTATTTCACATAGACGACGCTTAATGTAAAATAATGACGTGTAAAAAAATGTTAATGAAAAAAATAATAAATAATGAATTAATTTGAATTTTATTTTACAAAACCGTACGAATTTACAAAATGTAGATA